TTACCGACGTAGGTCGGCGAATGATTTTAAACAAGAGAAGAATCTATTCAGCCAGTCAGTGCATACTGGCAGTATACGTGAAAAATATTATGTAAACAGTGCATTAATATGGGAATACCGATATCTACACATTCCAGAATACTGCGCAGAGCCGCGGTCATTTCTTTAGTGAGACGTTCCTTTCTCCGTACTCTGTCTAGGTGGCCAGATAAGACATTCTTACCAACTTTTAAGACAGTCAAAATAAATGAGTCAAAATATGTTACTATAACAGGTTATAGGCTATATTCGTCCAGGTCATTAGTTCCACAAGTTACGAACCGTAACCACAGTCTTCGCAAACGTCGTCGAAAGCGGTGGCGGCGATGATTGTTCCATGCCGGTCCGACATTTGCGGGCTCAAACGCATTAGGCTGAATCGGGATTGTCGTCAGCACCACGGCCTGATCTCCACCTTCATCATTCCATGCTACCTTGACACTTTCCTTTTCCCCTCGTTTACATTCTTCTAACGCGTTAGTGTGCACATGCTTGTCCTCAGCCCCTTCCTTCCCGTTTTCCTCACCCTTATTTTTGCTCTTCTCCCATTTGATCTCCTCTTGCGAGCCCTTCAACTCCAACTCGTCCTCTGCCTCTTCGTCGGCCTCCTCAATGCTTTTGATTGTAGGCTCGAAACCCGATCTTCGCCTCCTCGGGCGCACTTGATCTACCCTTTTACCTAATGCAGGAAAATGTACCAGGGCTAAGTTCTCGGCTGTTGCGGGAAGTACGCATGGAATGACGGCAACAGCTGAACTTATATCGCCTTTGCATCATAAACCCACCTGAACTTGAGGGAACCAATTTTGCCGATTCTGAGAGGCCCGTTGATTCCTCGGTTTGGAACTTCACTATATCTCGTAGATTCGAAGAGGTATTGTCCTTATATGAAACGAAATCAGCTGTCAAATTACTGTTATGCCTATAAGAAGAAAATTAGAATAAATCATTAAATAACCCATAAGCCATATAACACATTGCTACCAACTTTTTAGACAGGCAACGTAAATGGATCAAAATATGTTACTGAAACCTTTCGGATACAACAAACTCACCTTACAGGATCAGGAACAGAGGAACGGGCAGCTAACTCTGTGATTTGTTGTTCAAAATGACTATGGAGGTACAATATATTCTTCCAGTGACGGATAAGGGCAGGCATTTTAAATAACATTCTAATCAAAGGGAAAACAATATCTACAACATAAAAAGAACGAGTATCGTTTGTTAAGAGTCATCAGCTTCTACCTAGACCTACATGCCCTACATCCATGACAGAATATTTGCAAAAAACTGCTAGAGTATATCACAGTTCATAATAAGGCAAAATAAGGTATACCAGTTTCATAAATGAAGAAAAGCGTTAGACATTTACCTTGCAAATCGGTGAACGGATAAAAAAACAATCACAGAAGTGAAGACGAATTTGAAAAGGAAGCTGCTGAACACATGAGCAAGGAGAATATACTCATCGACCGCAAATATTGTTCCTACAAGGTGAGTTTGCTGTATGTGAAATGGCTTGTTAAAGTTGGTGTGTGTTCGATCTTCGATTTCGATTAAGTTCACAAAGTGCACCAACAGGTTGGTGCAGAAGGTGACAGCTTCAGGGGTTAGCTTTAAAGTGCTAGAGGACGTAGTTAGCGGCTCCGCTCTCTTCACTCTCTCCCGGAGTCTCGAAGACTAAACAGGATCCGGCGTAGGCTGCTTTATCAAATGCAAGCCAAAAAACCGCCTAACTTAGTCTTAAATGACAGTAGACATTGCGCGGGTACTACTGTACTATCTACCCTCATTCACCCATAGTAGGTGTGAAGGCAGGCCCAAGGAGGCCGAGACGGATACGGCTACTACTGTTTCTACTACAACTGACCATCAATGTAGCCGAGTCTTAGTAGTATCAGTACTATCTCTGACGCTAAAATTTGTCAGAAGTGACGCTGATAAAGCCAGTGCTAGGGCTCATACGCCCTTGGTCTCAAGAAGGAGTGTGAATCTGGGTTTAAATTATTTCGAGTAAGTAGATGCTTGGAGCCTTGAGCACAAGAGCGTTTGCCTTGGTTTTCGCACTCTCGACTCTATCCATCGAGCTGTGCGAACGAAAGATACTGCTGCTATAGGTACGTGCCTATACTAAAAGTGCTAATATCCATTACTCATGCTCGCTAAGGCCAGTCGACAATATACTAGAAGCACTTCCTGTGTGTCCTTTTATTTAAAAAGACAGCACGCAGTATGCGCTCCCAATCTGTGTGAGATAAAGTGAGTAGCATTTGGATAATAATGCCCAAATCCTACCATGCCCTTATGCCGTGCAGTTTGTCGTCTGTAGACGACCTATAGGCCTCCTACATTATCCATCTGTAGCCTGGATTTTACAGAACCTCTGCTCGCATCCCTTTGATTCCAGCAGGGTGTGTGAATGTGGGTTAAAGCTATTCCCACCTTCAGTAGCTGTCAAGCCAGAGTTCTGGAAACCAAGACTAGTACTGCTACTGATATTTCTAACACTACTAACTAGGGGGGGCAGCTGAGTGATAGTATTTCTGGTAGTATTTTTAACTTTATTATTATTTAGAAAATGACGCTGATTAAAGCTAGCACTGGGCTCATATCCCCACAATCTCAACCAGAAGTGTGGTAGTAGTGTACCTATACACAATTTCAGTAGCGCTTCGTAAATATTTCGGATAATTTAATTTATAATTTTCCGCTTATATATATATCCCAACAGACTATTAACTGTCCAGTGAGGAAACTATTACCTCGAATTTCCTTGAAGTATCTGCTTTTGAAAAAGCCAAATCGACTGGCATGGACGGATCAGTGAGGGTACCTCCTTCGGGTTCAGGTGAGTCGATGAAGCAAATGTACTCTAAGTTCTGCTGTTACCGTCATTGCACATGTACTTCCCGTGACATAGGAAAACTTTAACCCTTGATATATTTTACTGTATTAGGTAAAAGGGTGGATCAAGTGCGCCCGAGGAGGCGAAGATCGGGTTTCGAGCCTACACTCGAAAGCATTAAGGAGGTTGAGGAAGAGGAGGATAAAACGGAGAATGAGTCGGCGTTTGAGGGGACGGAAGGCGGGGAGAATGAAGACGAAAAAAGGGAGGAAGAGAAGCAGAAGAACGACGATAAAAAAGAGGAGGATAACCAGGCGGAGGGTGTGCATGCATATGAATTAGAAAATTGTCGACAATTGGAGAAGGAAAGATCAAAGAAGAGATGGAATGATGAAGAAGTTGATCAGAGCGTGGTACTGACGACCATCACGATTCAAAACAATGCGTTTGAGCCCGTAAATGTTGGACCAGCATGGGGAAGGGAAATTGCAACTGAACACGGTCACTCGAAAAATCGTCGTCGCCACCGCTTTCGACGAAGTCGGCAAAGACTGTAGGTACGATTATTAACTTGTGGTACAAGTCATCAAGGCGAATATACCTTACCATCTTAACCAGATTCGAGGTCCGCCTATTATATATATTTGTTTGAGATATCCTTGTTAATATTTATGATAAGCGTTCCTTCAATTAAATGTATATTTTTGCAGAAGTATTTGCTGATTGTTTGCGAATCGGGTACGTGTATGGAAGACGGGAGGGGGCGCAGGTGACTGGCGTGAACGGCGCCACCATTAAGTTTTTCGGCACACATTGCTGGCATCTGACGGATTCGGAAAGTGCTATTAGAGGTGGCCTCACTATAGGAAGCCGTCGCAGCCTCATACTCAGTCAAACAGTCGGTCATTCCACGCAGACGCACACTGGGCTGTCTTTGCGTTCCGAGTTTGCCAATGCTCCAGGTATCGACTTTTAATGAAATCTGATAGCTTCAAGCACGCCGGCATGTCTACAGTGAGGAAAGTGTGCTGAGCCCTCAACTTCACACTATTTACACTCATGGGCCTCATCAACTCTCCCAACCGCTCAGTTTTCGTTTGCGGTGGATGGGCGCAGTAGGTGACATAGATTTCTGACACCGTCTGCGCGTACCGCATACTCGACCTGATCCCTCTAGCAAAAATCAACCGATTTCGCTTGGATATGTTGAACGGAATTCCACATAAAAGTCTAATTTATGAATTGTCTGAAATTAGAATAAAAGAAAACTGACGGACATGGATCAATGATTTTCTTACAGGGAAATCACAAACTGTGTACATCGGTACCTTGAAGTCAGCCCCATACCCCCAAGCCTCCGTCGTAGAACCGTTACCATTTCTAGTCTACATCAAAGATTGTTTCGACGGCCTGGGTTGTAAACCCTGGAGGGTCATCAGGTCTGACGTCGATAGGCAAACACTTCAAGAGAATCTCAACCGACTTAGCAGTTGGTCTGCCCGTTGGCTCTTAAATTTAAACGTTAGTAAGTGTGTGGTTTTAAGGCTCCGCACTAGAAGAACCAATGAGTAGAATGACTTCTTCCAGTACCTTCTCGATGGGCAACCCCTTTCAACTGTTGACGAGCAGAAGGACCAAAGTGTCCTAATAACCTGCTCACTTAAACCATATTCAAAGTGTCTAAAGGCAGATAAAAGCGCGACATGGGTGTTATTTGCGCTAAGAACCGACGGAGCATTTGTTCGGTCCCACTTGGCATATGCCGTCCAGGCCTGGCGTCCGTAGTTTAAGAAGGATTATCTCACCTGGAATGAACATAGGCGAGGCCTAAGAATGTGGTCAAGAAACTCGGTCGTCTGCCTTACGAAGACAGATTGAATGAACTAGATTTGTTTTTCCTCAAGTACAGGCAACGATGCGGTGACCTACCGAATTGTCAGAGGCTGCGAGTGCGCTCTAGAAGTAAATGACTTCTTCGACTTTGTCCGGAGCGACCACATTCGGGGTCATCCCTTTAAAGTGCAGAGGAAGCCGGCCCATATGGACGGTGGAAGGAAGGCCTTCTCGCGGAGAGTCACTGGAGCGTGAAACGGACTCCCTTAGCAGCTGGTCCTTTTAAAAACTGTTGAGGCATTTAAATGCAAGCTGCATTTTCATTTGCTGTGAAACTGTAGTACGTAGAATGAACATTGTGTCAGTAGCAGCACTTTGAAGCTGGCTCACACATATCGCTGATGTCAACTCTACATTTGTCATATGTGCTATTGCTAAAGTTGAGTATTATGGATATGAATAGGGGGCTCAGTGGTGAAAGCATTCTTTCTTTAATAAAGTGACTTTAGCACGCTTGACTGTCTATAGTGCGGAAAGTCTGCTGAGTCGTCGACTTCGCACTATTTCCCCTGACGGACCTCAGCAACTCTCCCAGCCGCTCAGTTTTCGTTCGCGGTGGATGGTCGCAGTAGATGACATCGGTTTCTGACACCGTCTGCGCGTGCCACATGCTCGACCTGACCTCTCAAGCATGAGTACCAGAATTTCGCTTTGACAGGTTGGACATCATGCGTGTCGGAGTGCAATAGAGGCAGCACTAAGAAGGAACCCTTGCAGCTTAAGTCTCCATCCAGCAGTTGGCCCCTTCGGACGATGGCTGGATTACCCCATCAGTTTGCAACTATTCAAGCCAGGCCTTATGACGCATAGTGGTAGTGTAAAACCGTTGTCATCCAGGCACCAAAGTAGCAACACGGCGCTGGAGCAGAGAGACACAGTTCCCACTTACACGAATGGTGCTAACTGTGTGTGAGTTTGGGTTTAGCAATGCGAGATGAAGCTGCTGGTGTCTTAGAAATGCCGTGGTTTGCGACGGCCGATTGGGTTCTACCGAGGAGTTTCATGGAGGGGCATGTAACCTAGTGGGTCCATCTGGTGAGTGGTTTTGCAAGTGTCCGAGCACGGCAACGTTTAATGTGAAAATTCCGTCTTCCCTATCTGGAGTTCTACGCTGCCATCTCAACTTCAGTATGCTGCGGTGATAACTTACAGGTTTCGAACGGATTACGCTTCAAGGTCGCTATCAGTCTGCGTCCCTTTTCTCGGTGTGCTAAAAGTCCTTCTGCAGTTACATTAACGATACGGACGCACTGGATTCGGCTACTGAAGAGAATTAAAAAGGTCTTACTTCACGGTGTGCAATCGCTAAGAATTATTGGCGTAGTGCTCAATGCAGATAAAAGAGTGACTGGTAAAAAAAGAAAAGCCAAAATAATGTAACCTGAAACGTCTCACGAGATGCAATTTCCAGAGACGTACATGGTGAAATGAGAGTTCAACCATCGGAAGTGAGAACGTCCAGTGCGTGTCCCACAGAGCGTGAACAACATCGCTGAATGGTGCGTGGATGTGCATGTTCCGTGAAAAGCTTGCGCAGCATCCGATGCACTTACTTTTCTTTCATTCACTTCGAAGAGATGACAGGGAAATTTAAAGACGACCGGGGGTGGACTTGTAGTGGTCTCTGCCATCCGACGCCCTCCATTGCTTTGTCCGGCGTCATTATTCAAGTCCAGCTGCTTCAGGGTCATCCAATACCTCGGTCAGCTCTTACAGACGCGCTAACCTGCAGAGACTTAACCTACTTCCAATCGGACACACACACTTGCGTCTAGGTTCTCGCGGCTGTCCAAGCATCACTCAAACATGTCCCTTTTTCCCCACCCTCGGCCGCCAGACATCACTTCGGATAACGTCGCCCTAGCGGAAGGTCATGCTCTCCGTAGCCAATCTCTTTCCTTCTATTCTTCGTTCCTCTGTGTACACAATAAACTGTTCCTACTACTCTGGCCTCTATCGAATTCTCTTCTCTATTAAGTAAACATGGTCTGAAGATCGCAGTTGCTAGGGTTTCACTTACTTAACCCCTGCAATAGACTTGGACGGACAAAAAAGAAAGTTCATCTGCATATGCCACACAGTAGCTGATGGCACTAAATGTGCCATACTTTTGTTAGAGCGCGTCGGATCTTAAACGCATGAGAATATTAAAAGAGGTCACCTGAAAAAGGATGCCTGGCAGTCTGACTCTCGGTCTTTCGATCATTCCAATGTACGTGCATTGGGACGGGTTGATCCTGTTAGCCTTTGACTTCTGGTATGTCATCCTAGGTTCAAACATAGAGGCGAAGGAGTTGTCATGTCCTGATTATGGCTACAATAGTGTTGGCCTCAAGCTGACGGGGGGTGCAAGTAGGACTAAGGTATGTTGAAAGGTGTTTTATGCTATCCTCGAGAAGATTTTCCAACTACCTTGAACCTGCCTAAAGATTATTCTTAGAGTGAAAATAATTCGAAGGAGAGTTAGAATTGTGACAATTTCCCTGAAATTGGAAAAGGTTGCTCTTTCAAATTCAAAGTTTTGTATTTGTCAGAGGATAGACGGAAATGCGAAATAGGAATCTGACACGAAAAGGCTACCTGAAATGCCATTTCGGCATAGACTGCAGGCCAGATCAAGTTAAAAATGATAATGATGCGTGGATGTGCAAATTCCGTGAAAAACTTGCGCAGTTTCCGATGCCCTCGCTGTTCGCTTCGACGAGAGGGCAAGGAAATGGAAAGACGACTGTTAAGGCAGGCCTTCAATTATGGCTCTGTGTGAGGTCACTATTTATATCAGCATTGTAAATGAAATTGTTCTCGCTCTGCTGTAAATTGGGCATGTTAATGGCTAGTATCGAACAGAGGAGCAACTTTAGAGGACGAAGAGGATCCTACCTCACTGTGCGCAGGAGCGAGAGAGAGACCGTGAAAACCCAAACACAAGGAATCACTGGTGTATTCTAAAGAGGAGGTGGAAAGGGTTCGCGTGACTGAAGGTTTAATGCAGATGAAACAGTGATTGTAAGTAATGAAGAACCAAAATGATGTTACCTGAAATCCCTCACGAGATGCAGCTTCCAGGGACGTCAGTGTGAAGAGGAATTAGCATTGTGGTAATTTCCATAAAAACTGAAAATTGATTCACTTCCAAAGTCAAAGTTTTGTAGTTGACATGGGCTAGACAGAGACACGAAATAAGAATCTGACTTCAAAGGCTGCCTGAAGTACCTTTTCGGCATAAACTATAGGTCAGCCAGTAGAAGTGCGCAGCAAATCGACTCAAGTGTGATTAAATGCACGGCACATGGTGAGCCTCGTAGCCCAATGGTAGAGCATTGGCCGCGCAAAAGCCTTCCCTGCTATGTGGCTTCAACCCCCACCGAGGCCGCGAATTTTTCACTATTGGGTCAAGCGAATATTTGAATGCTCAATTATTTTCAAACAAGATCCAATCTTTGTGCAGCTATAAAGATAAACATTGATAAAGGCCTGATCAGACTCTCCCATATATCATGATAACTCTCCTAAACCATCAGAGCACTTTGAGCACTCAGTGAACGCAAATTGTCAGCTATCCTACTCCGCATCGTGGCTTTTACATTCTCTGGCATAATACTCTAGTTTTAAAAATAGCTCGAGCTATTTGCAGACTTTGTTTTGATGTCAGACACGGAGAAAT